ACTAGTTAAAGCAGTCCATTATAGCAACACATTCCTAAAATAATTGCTCAATAACTCAGTTTAACATGTTTAACAATTTAACACAATAATAACTCAATTTTGCCAACTAAAAACTTGGGCGATTATTTTAGAACGTTGACAACTGTTGTCTCCAACCTGGTGCTACCTGTTGCTTGTTTTTCACAGGAGCTACTGAGAGAAGCTAGCGTGTCAAGATACTCTGTGTGAGCTTGATTCATGCAGGTTTTCCCTGGAAATATTCCACCTGTTTTATCACCTGTTTCCACTACAACACACTTGCTTTGATTTTTCTGTCATATTCAAAGAAATCCTAAAGTGGACGTCGCTGCTTTCTCCCAACTGTTGCTGTTGTCATTTAGCAGGTGATGCTGAGCAGCAGACTGTAAACAAGTGTTGTTACAGACAACAGCTAATGTGAAACTACTCAATAAAAAAAAGATCCACACAGCTCAAAATAAATTGACAAACACTAAATCTAAGGATATTCTATCTATAATTTCAGTTATTTTTAGTTAGTTTTGTAAAACGATTATGCAGTTTTAGTTATCGTTTTTTTTTTTTTTTCATTTTACAGTTTTTATTTATTTCAGTTAACTAAAATGCTTTTCAATTTCAGTTTTCATGATTTAGTTAGTTTTAGTAACTATAATAACTCTGGCTCAGGTTTGGGTTTACATTCTCTTGGAGCATCAGCTGTTACTCCATCAGAGCATGGCTGCTCCTGTTGGTGGTGTTTGTTTAATTTAAGGACCCTCTGGTCCACTCTGACTGATCAAACCTCACATAAAATGATCATTTAATAAAAGTAATGAGAAAACACCGAAGCAGCAGACGTCTGAGCCCTCCTCTTATTTTAGAAACAAACCCAAACAGATCAGAGTGTTTCTTCCTGGATGAGTTTCTCATTACGTAACAATCTGAGTATAAATTTTACATGGTGGATGTTACCGAGTTGTAAACGGACCGTCTGGATGCTCATCAATGATGGAGGAGGACCGAGGTCCGGCAGAATCATCCAGATCTCTGTGTTGGTTCTCATCTGTAAGGCTGAGAAATGATTGCATCATCCAACATAAAGACACAAGTTGGTTTAAAAAAAGGTGCAGCTATCAGAGCATATTGGCTCGCAGAATATTTAAAAGTATAAATAATAAATAAAGTAAAAACAGCAAAGAAATCCTGAAAAATAACCCAAATAAAAGTGCAGCTTTTAAAACTTGTGCAAAAGTTTAAAAGAGATATTTTTCAAAAAAAAGTGACAGGAACGTTTAGAGTCACACAGCTAAAAGGGATTAACAATTAAACTCATTCTGCTTATTTTTATTTCTATTAAAAGGGATATTTGAACCATTTTCAAGTGAGGTTCTGGTTATAAAAATAATCTTACCTGTTGTTGATGGAAAGACAACAACATTTCCAAAGGATTTAAAGAGATCTGATTTATTTTACTGGAGCAAATCTTTGTAAATAAATGAAATAATTTGAAAAAGTTACAGAAACTAAAATCTCCTGAATGAGCTGAAAGGTTTGAAAAATGAATATCTGAAATAACGTAGCATGCACATATAGTTTGATGGTAGAAAACATGAAAACTGGGAAACAGTAGCGTAATAAACGCTGACTCAGCGTTCACACCATCAAATCAAAGCTGGACAGAAACAAAGAGCTGAAGTGATGTGATCACCAGCCTACGGGAAACGAGCCGTGAGCTGAGTTTTGCTCATCATCACTGGGCGTGTCACTGAAGCTGGGCAGCATCAGTGTGATTACACATGGCAGGTGGGGGGGGGGGGATGACCTAATGCTGTAAAAACCTATGAAGTCATCGTACCTGACTCATACTCCCAGCTGACACCAGCTCTCAGTGCCATCCTCCTCCAGGAGTGTTGTTGTCTGACGGTGTGTGTGTGTGTGTGTGTGTGTGTGTGTGTGTGTGTG